CTTCAGGGATGCTTCAGGGAAGTTTGACCCTTACTCAAAGTTCTTGCAATGTCAAGTTAATGAATGGATTCTTGTGGTGGCTGCTGTAGACTAACTGTTGATCTAAGTACGGCCCTGAGCTTGCTACATCTGGCTGCTGGGATTGCTTCATGCTTAAGCTAGAATGGAGAGTTGCAGCGGCCCTAAAAACGGGAGCTGGGCTGCAGCTCTCCAGGTGACCAGAGGCATTTAAGCCAGGGAACATCCCTGTTCTGATGTGACCAGCATTCATACCACCTCTCATCATCATCCTTTACTCCCAAACAGGTGGTGTGAAATTCTTGGGACGCTGGAAGCTGAGTCTGGGTGCCTGTGGTCCCCATGGTCCCTATTCCATATTCTGTCTTAATATCAAGTAAGCCTATTGTGTCTTGTGAGTGTGACTGACAATCTGAACCTAAAACCTCACCAGTGATCTTGCACCTCTTCATCTAGATCATAAGCTATTTGAGGACAGTGACATGTTTTGAATCTTTCTATCTCTCTTGGTTCATAAAATGCCTCATACATTATTGTTTTAAAAATAATAATAATGGCAGCTGCCATTTATTGAGTATCTACTATGTGTAATATATTGCTCTGAGAACTGTACATACATCATCTCTGACTCCTCAACAAAATATTATAATCTGCATGTTACAGAAGAGGAAATGGAGGCTCAGAGAAGTGAACTATCTTGCCCATGTTTTGGAGTTCTAGTAAAGATGAAGTCATAATAAANTGATTTAACGTGGTGGCAATGAGCCTACCTCCCTCACAGGGTGCATGAGGACAGAACACGACGATTCCTGCACTGCACACAGCCTGGCATGGAGCAGGTACACAGTAAATGATCCATTCTGTGGAGCCCTTAGTTCACTAATGAGGAAACTGACGCCCAGGGGAAGGTAATGAGCTAATTAACAGTACATCAGGATTTGAATGCAGACTTTCTAGCTTTTAGCCAGGGTCCTTTCTGCACACAACACAGCCTCATTTCTAATAAAGCACATGGCAATGCTTCACCCTTCAATGGTGTTCAGACTGATTCAGGTCAACAGGTTAAAGGCAGTTGTGACCAAAGAAATTAAAATGCCTTAGTCTAGCATGTGACGCTATTGTGGGCTAAATTGTGTCCCCCACCAAAATTCATATATTGAAGTCCTAATCCCTAATACCTCAGAATTAGACTATATTTGGACATAGGGCCTTTAAAGCGGTAACTGAGTTAAAATCAGGTCATTAGTTTGGGCCCTAATCCAGTATAACTGATGTCCTTATAAAAAAAAAAAA